AAGTTGAAATACAACAACTTGTTTGAATGACATTTGTTTTTCATCATTTTTTATTCTATTTTCCACGATATACCTGTTAGCATCCTCTACATTGAAAAGTAGGCTCCTTTTCTATCAGTACAAAAGAAGCCTAGCGCTCTGTATGACTGCATGACCCAAGCACATGAGTGGCCGCGCCGATTAGCATTCCGTTATTCAAATAAGTAAAAATAAGATATTGCATGATCAGAAGAGTATAATGTTACGCGGTATATGGCGTACATTCATGGTTGCGCGGTATTTGTGATACGGGTGAATATGCCATACTCACCTGCGGTATATCATATACGGGCATATTCCGCAGGTGAGCAAGTATGCGATGTTCCGCAGTAAATATGTGATACATTGATTTCAGTGAATACCTGATACTCACCTGCGGAATATGTCATACTCACTTGCGGAATATGCCATATACCTCAGGTGAATATGACAATCGATGCAATTGACAATTGCGTACTTCCGTATCACGTTCTCATTGGTCAGTGTGTATGCCATATACCACAGGTGAATCTGTCCGTGAATATGCCATATTCGTTGCGGAATATGACATATTTTTGTGTCGTGTTTACCGCGTAACATATGATACACGGTCTTAGACCTCAAAACCTAGCTCTGTTGCTTCGGTGATCTTAAATGCTGAATTGCGGGCAGGCGCGTTATCAAGGTGGACGACTGGCTTCAAATTGATCTTTTCAAAAACTTAACTGTAAATTGACCTTTTGTGATCAGATTTCAGGAATTTTGTTTATGGATACTGTTGTAATGTATTTCGTCTTATTGGTGTGACGTCATATAAAAATGATATTATACATGATGGAATCACGAAATGGCGGACACGTGGCAGTTTTGAGCTAAAAATATTGTCGTTTCTTTTATGAAAACCATGGATCGGATATTAACCAGGTATGCCGATTTGACTAGATCATGAGTATATCTATGTATGTGCAAAGTTTGGGTGAAATTCATACTACACATCGATGCCTATAAGCGCCCTCCGTTTTCTTCAAAATCGGGGGGCGCTTAACCGCTATCTAAATCATGTCAGTAATTGAAGTAAGTAATGTCAGAATGAATGTTGATCTAGTCAAATCGAACACTTTTGTGAAAAATAAATCAATAAAGCACGAAATATAGAAGATAATCTTTCAAAATCAAACATCTAAAGCGGGGTGGCCTAATTGTGACGTCTCTACAAGATTACCCCCATAAATGTGGGGTTATTTTGAGTTTTTTTATATTTGGGACATTTGTTTCTCAAAATAACCCCACAAAGTTTAGGCTTTGATTCTTTGCGTTTTTTTTCACATGATTTGAAGATTCAAGTTCTGACAATATCGGCAGTTTCCTTACCTTTTTTCTTCTCTTCTGTGAAGAGGATTCTTTTTCCAATGTAATGAACGATCGATCAGTGGAAACAATACTTTATAACTGGAACAATTTGCTGTAATATTTGACTCTCGAAATCTATTCAAATTTTGGCCATTTTCGCGCGTTGCATTCTGGGAGGAATTATGTGGTAGATGCCAACAGTGCCAAACGAAATCACCTGTCAAATTAATAACAAAATTATTGCTTATGCCTTAGTTCAGGAAAACAAAGGCCGTAGACGATACAGCAGCCAGACTTGAGGTTAAAAATCCTTTTAATACACCCCGGAAGGTGAAAATCATTTTTCAAAATTTCCCTCCATTTTTACTTTTGGATTTCGTATTTACACGAAGTTTGTCATTTAGATACAAATTCTATGTGTATGCTATTGTTTAGCAAATCCCCAAAGAATCAAAGTACTAATCGGTGTGGGCTTATTTTGAGAAACAAATGTCCTAAATATCAAAAAACCTCAAAATAACCCCACATCTATGGGGGTATACAAGATAGAATCCATTCATTATGAGCCAATTGATGATTTGCGATCACCGAATGGATTCTATCTTGTAGCTGGGAATACTAAACCAAGCTTGCAATGGGGTCACAATTAGGCCACCCAGCTTTAGATGTTTGATTTTGAGAGATTATCTTCTATATATCGTGCTTTATTGATTTATTTTTCACGAAAGCATTCGATTTGACTAGATTAACGTTCATGCTTAGCACATACCAAGTCTAAGATCTTACCTTGGAATAAAAAAATCAATAGTATTCCCAGATTTTACTGACATGATTTAGATGATGATTTAGGTTTTAAAAGCGCCCCCCGATTTTGACAAAAACGGGGGGCGCTTATAGGCATCGATGTTCAGTATGAATTTCACCCAAACTTCGCACATATATAGATATACTCATGATCTAGTCAAATCGGCATATCTGGTAAATATCCGACCTTTTGCGAAGTTTGGATGAAATTCATACTAAACATCGATGCCTATAACCGCCCCCCGTTTTTTTCAAAATCGGGGGGGGGGGGGCGCTTAACCGCTATCTAAATCATGTCCGTAAGATCTTAGACTAGGTATGTGCTAAGCATGAATGTTGATCTAGTCAAATCGAACGCTTTCGTGAAAAATAAATCAATAAAGCACGAAATATAGAAGATAATCTCTCAAAATCAAACATCTAAAGCTGAGTGACTAATTGTGACGTCACTACAAGATAGAATCCATCCGGTGATCGCAAATCATCAATTGAAGACTGTTATACATAGTGATATTCCAGGAAATTGAATAAATATTATTATTATTATGAAATCATACTTGAATCTGAGTTGTATAGCAACACCATTACAACAAAGCAACGAATAAAGAGCAAGAAGTGTTGTATTGTAATAGGTGAAATAGATACTTCATTCAGTAATACAAAAATGTTAGATATCACATTTTCTTGAAAAAATTACCCCGGGTATTTAGATATCATGTTACTATAGTTACCATAACTCTACATACATTTCATCATTTTCTTGAAACTTTACAATTTTAGTTGCAATACTTCAAAGTACAATTTGTAAAAATTTGAAGACACTCGTTGCAGAATTGACAATTCAACACCAATCTTGTATCCAGATTGATGCAGTTTCCCATTTTTATGGCCCTCTCAGCCATAAGTGTAATTGGAAAAACAACCCATACCAAGCACGGTCCCGTTTCCACCGTTCCGTATTAGTGGGTTTATTGACATTAATACGGAATAAATCATACCAGTTCATTAAAAATGGTGTCCTTGTCCTACGGAAATTGAGATTATGTTTCACAGCAAGTTTGCATGGCGATACTGTATAGCACATGCTATGGGGAATTGATTCTTCTTTCTATAGACACCAAACACATCTGTGTCGATAGAATAATGAAAAAGCCTTAGGGTCCCAACCTCCTTTGTTTACATTTACAAAAACGTGAAAAAGGACAAAAGTTGTCATAACTTTTTAAATCTAAAACTCTTGAAACCGATTTCACTTGCCAGCGACAGATACTTTAGTCTTTCCCGAACAGAACATGTCAGTTTGGTTCGTAATATCTCCAAATAAACGATTTCAACATTTTAAAAAACTCGATGTTAGTCCACGTATTAATAAGGAATTGGTCGACTCAATAAGAAAAGTCAATGAACGAAACGGTGAACTCGTGAATGAAGCAATTAAGATAATTAGTAGTGTTATAAAATGTTAGTGTGTTTCAACCCGGGATATGAAACACAATACCTTGAGTCTGGGTTTCAATAGCATGGGCATTAAGTTTCAAGTATAACTTCATTCGTCATGGAGAGGGTTAGAGTACCATGTCGGTTTGAATGTACCAAAACCTTCACAAGAAAACCATCTAAGTGGCAGCGTGAGAAGGGAGGTAGGTCATGCAAATAAGGAAAATGAGGAGTAGAGGGATATCAAAGTACATCTGAATGAGAATTATCATTTTAGGTTCCCCTCCCCTGTCAACATTTGAACCATAGTTTAAGTAGCATGGGACTACACTTTGCCAGAGTCCACCACACAAGGGGTTTCATCTCTTTTTGCCATTCTGAATAAAGACAAGTTTTTATACAAAATACGTTGAACTCTCCAATTGCTTGATTCTTGCTTCAATGCTCATCTTTTACTCTTCTTTTCAATTGCAATTTTGGAATAGTTTCATTATTAAGTATTTCGTATGTATACATCACCCAGAAGTCCAAATGATCGAGCTATTTGAAGATAATCTCCAAATTGGGGACAGTTTATGAAGGTTATAATGCGTTGCAAAGGTTGATCTAACCATGACCAGTTTCTCATATGCATTTGAGATCGGAAGTCTACTAACAGAGTTGCCAATGTAGCATCACTTTACTAAATTAAATGAAGATTGAGTACCACTTAAGTGCTGTGCAAGCGGGATTACAACCCCTTGAATCGTTTTAGCAATTTCTCTATGCCCTTCCTCCCTCTTCAAAAATGTCTTGTAATATATTCTTAGCACAGCAATTGGAAATTGTGATTTTCCCGGAAATATATACGACTTAACATCCATTCCGTATTAACACTTGGAAACCGTATACCCATTCTTATTAACACGTGGACAAGCATCAAATTTTTAAAATGTTGAAATCGTTTATTTGGAGATATTACAGATATTACAAATTGACATGTTCGGTTCGTGAAAGACTTAAGTGTCTGTCGCTGGCAAGTGAAATCGGTTTCAAGAGTTTTAAATTTGAAAAGTTATGACAACTGTTTTCATTTTTCACGTTTTTGTAAATTTACACAAAGGAGGTTGGGACCCTAAGGCTTCTTCATTATTCTATCGACACAGATGTGTTTGGTGTCTATAGAAAGTAGAATCAATTCCCCAGAGCATGTGCTATACAGTATTGCCATGCGAACTTGCTGTGGAACATAATCTCAATTTCCGGAGGACAAGGTCACCATTTTTTAGGAAATGGTATGACTTATTCCGTATTAATGTCAACAAAACCACTAATACGGAACGGTGTAAACGGGACCGTGCTTGATATGGGTTGTTTTCCTAAACACACTTATGGCTGAGTGGGCCATAAAAATGGGAGACTACATCAATCTAGAGACAGACTATTTCTATCATTCGTGAGTATTTTATGTCCTCAGTTGATTCGATTTTCTAATGTTTAAACCTAACCAGTCTTCATAATCTTCATAACCCAGTCCCAGTTTTACCAAGTAATCCTGATTTTCAACATATTCCCGATATTCTTACAATATGTTAAGTAAATGTATAAATATATCAAAAAGTCACAATATTGTTGAGTAGTTGTTTAGTATATACGAAATATTGCCTAGACTACTCGTAGTAATGATAGTTAAGTGTAGATGTGGAAATAATGAAGAAAATGGTTAATTTATCAAAAAGCAAACAAAATGAAAATGTGTTCAAATTGACCCGAAATTACATATGTGCATCCTCTATGGGCACTCTCAATATCCATCCATTGTATTTCATTACATGTTTTATATCTTAGTTTTTAGTACAAATTCAAATATACCACCATAGAGGAAGCAATGTAGAAGCAATAGGGATTTGCTTAAGTCCTATACAACATCGTGTTCCTCTAAAATAGCAATTTCTAATAAAGCATCAATTTCTCACTCACTCGAGAAGTAGACTTCAATTCTTCCAGGATAACTAGGCCCGCTCCCAAGCTTTTAACATAAATTTTGTTACCACCTTCCATTAATAAACTTTTTTTTATGAAAACAGCTCACAATTTGACCCCTGGGGTATCCAATTTTTGCTAATAGTTGGATAGGTTGGGGTAAAAACCCTCAATAACGGGCACCATTGGAGGTGAAATGGCAATGTTAATATCAAGATTATTTTAGTAGACATCGTGTCGATGAAACAATTGTAATTAAAGATTAATATCATTCGGGTGCATGGGAAGCGTTCCTTTCTTCTAAACTGTAAGGATTTGTAGTCAAAATGAACCTTGGTCATTTAGTCGAATTAACAACAAAGCAGTAACTCTATTACCGCCCTAGCTCGTTTAATCCGGATCATTTCATTATATTTTAGTCACAAGGACCGACATATTGCATCGACATCTGTACAACCTGTCGCTTATCCAGTTTGGTTGAAGGGTGCATCTGATGATGCAGACAAAGAAGACAATAGAAAAGTAGCAAGTGATGCTCCTGAACATAAACACATAAATGGATCGCTAAAGGGTCAACATGAGAATACTTCACTCAAGTGAGTCACTGGTCGATAGATAATTGTTACAACCTAATACAGGGTGACACACAAAAAATGCCACCCACATATGTTGCATAACTTTTTCGTTTGCATTTTATCTGGATTGTTCGTCTTTGGCACATTAAAACTGGACTACGTCAAATTTCAATAGAAAAAGTTTGTATTTGTCAAATATTCGAATTTCCCGCCTTTTTTCAAATAAAAGTTGAATTTTTTGAATATCAAATATTTATATATCATATATCAATAACGGGCACCATTGGAGGTGAAATGGCAATATGAACATCAAGATTATTTTAGTAGACATCCTGTCGATGAAACAATTGTAATTAAAAATTAATATCATTCGGGTGCATGGGAAGCGTTCCTTTCTACTAAACTGTAAGGATTTGAAGTCAAAATGAACCTAGGTCATTTAGTCGAATTAACATAACAAAGCAGTAACTCTATTACAGCCTTCGCTCGTTTAATCCGGATCATTTCATTATATTTTAGTCACAAGGATCGACATATTGCATCGACATCTGTACAACCTGTCGCTTATCCAGTTTGGTTGAAGGGTGCATCAGATGATGCAGACAAAGAAGACAATAGAAAAGTAGCAAGTGATGCTCCTGAACATAACAACAGAGATGGATGGGTAAAGGGTCAACATGAGAATACTTCACTCAAGTGAGTCACTGGTCGATAGATAATTATTACAACCTAATACAGGGTGACACACAAAAAATGCCACCCACATATGTTGCATAACTTTTTCGTTTGCATTTTATCTGGATTGTTCGTCTTTGGCACTTTAAAACTGGACTACGTCAAAGGAGTGGTATCGATATGGTGGTCTCTTTGAACACGCGTTTCTCTTAAACCATTCTGAAAATGTTACACATCGTCAATTTAATGATCATCTTTTGGATGGTAACATTATGATTTGAAATATATAGGCCTATATCCCTTTCTCTATATTGTTTTAGAAAACAAATCAGACACTTCTTTTGTTATTGGTATCATATGTTCGGAATGAAATGAAAAATATATCCGAACCTCATTGGAACAAAACTACATATCCCTCAATATTGTAATTGTATAAAGGAAAATTTGGTTGATTTTTTAAAAAAGCATCCTGTTAATGAAATAAAATGTTTATCTTATATTTTTATCTATTTTGAGGGTTTTTGTTTTAAGTTTTTGCTTACTTTTTGTAAAATCAACAAAAATGTCCTTTGTTTAACTGTAATATTGAGAGGTCTAAGCAAATGTTGTATATGTTATTTTGTTCCAACGATGTTCGGAAAGACATTTTATTTCATTCTCAAGAATTGGTAGAAAGGAACAAGAAACAATTGCACCAAAAAAACAAAAAATGTTAACAAAAACAGTTATATAAAATACATAAAAATCATTTTTGCATTAAATTGTTGCCAATCAGTCAACATTACATAAAGGACCGTGTTTTTTACAGAATGTTTTCAATAATTGGTCTAAGAGAAAAACATTGTTAAATTCAGTTCACCATATCGATGCCTATCCTTTCAATAGAAAAAAGTTTGTATTTCTCAAATATTGAAATTTCCCGCCATTTTTCAAATAAAAGTAGAATTTTTTGAATATCAAATATTCCAACAAACAGTGTAAAATACAATTATATTTTTAACATCATTGCCAAAATTAAACAAAAGACACTGTTTCAATATTAAAGGGTCATATCTAATGTGCCGCTTCAATGTTATTATTTAATAAAGAGAATTGCAACCTAAGTGATCATCGTGACATCAATCTGGTGGCAAAAGGTTTTTCTCTACGGCTTATATTATTATGACTAACGTCTGGCTGGTTTAAGATCTTTGATGGTACCAACACTCCCATTCCAGAGACTGAAGATATGGGACATTTTATTTGGTGGTTGGTTGAAGAATGATGAAAAACTTCTACATTGGTTAATAGTTTTATTGGTTGGTTCATTTGTAACGTATTTGTATCCAAAGCCACCTGGAGCACCATTCTGAAACTGCTCCAATTTCTCTCATTGCTCGTCTGAGTTGGCCAGAATGTATCCCAATGTCTTTGAACAATGAGCGTAGAGACAAAGCTGGGAAGCCCCTGCATCCTACTTCTACAGGGTATAGTCTTGCTTGCTTTCCTTTCTTCTTGGCTTCGTGGATTAGATCTTGGTATTTGTTGTACTTAACTTGGTGGGATATGTCTATTCTTTCCTCCCATGGTACTGTGAGGTACTAACTACTTACTAGGTTGAAAAGAAAAAAGAAATATAAATATACCATTGGTTTCTATGAGTACTAAAATTTTGAAATGGATTTTCTCTGAACCACTTTAATGCGTGAATGATATCATTTCTCCTTTATTTATCAACCAATTTTTCCTAATTTTCGGCAACAATCATGTGAGGATGAATGCTATGCATTGGTGTGAAATATTGCTAATTAAAAGATATGTGCGACCTCTTAAATTTAGTTATAAATAAATTCTCAATTTTTCGAACAAAAAAATTACATATCATATTTTGATAGCATAAACCATAAAAAAGGTGAGACTACTGTATACTAGTAAGTCAAAGTGGTTTTAACTTTATATGAGGGCTTGAAAGGGCCTAATTTATTCTTTTATCCAGTTTTAAACCTAGTCGTCCAGTATGTTTGTATAGGAAAGAAAAATGATTTTAGGAACAAGAAAATAGAAACGGAAACAAGTAAACAACCCAAAGCCAAAAATGGGAAGTGTAAAACGCCATGTGAACGTTGTAAAGCAAAGACGCCTAAAGGAATTTGCAACCTTGGAAAAGATGAACAGTTGGATATGTTGTTACGGTATGTTACTGGAGAGGTTAAGCTACCGTATAAAATCCAAAACGCAACTAAAACGTATCCATCGCCCCTATACAAATACATGTAGAGTTCACACATAAATAGCCGTTCAGCTCTAGTGTTTGTTTAGACTACACCATAGCTTGTAATGATTACATATTATGCCATTGATGAAGTTCAATAGCTAGTTTTCTATTTACATATTTTAAACGAGCTCGTTTCGTAAGATTATTGGAGTTAAATCATGCGTAACATACATCATCTTCTTCAGAAAGAATTATACTCTGCATCGAAATCAAAATTGCAAGGACAGTATTCAACAGAACTGAGTATAATGATTCCCGTTGATAGCAACGTGAAATTTAAAATCTCCCGTTCTAAACACGCAACTTTGAAGTTGAACGGGTATCTGGAGTAGACTAAAGCGATACAATCACATGTTGATTCAATGTACTTTGCGTTTACGTATACGTTTTGAAAAACTGTATTTGCTTAACCTCTCCACTACTACTTCTTAAACGTGCTTGTTGACATTAATATGCCAGGTATTTTTTTACTGCCTTTGAGAGGCTTTAATCTAAAGGATCCGTACCCATAAGTGTACCTATAAGGACTTACAATTTTTTTGAAAAGGGTAAATTGGAATTCCAGGATTATTCTTATATAATATGAATTTTTAAGAAGTATATTTTCAACAAATCACAAAAATAATATTTAGAATATGGTAAAAAGTTGTTTTTTTACAGTGATTCTTAACACATGTCATTCTGACTCTTAAAATGAGTAATTTTCACATATTTTCACAAAACCTTGAATAAAATCTTGATTTTTGTAGATACACTTAAATTGACTTGTCAGTATAAAACTACATTGTGTCTGAGCATAATAACCTTCACTAAGCAGATCTACCATGCATAGATACTTTGTAATCCTATTGTTTTGAAAGGCACCCTATTGTGTTCTTGTTTTTAAGAATGGATGACCTTATACAGTCACTGACAGATTGAGGTGCTTCCGCAGGTCAGACCCCCTCTGATTTCACCTTTATTGTTTAGTATTGACATTATTGCATAGTTCAAACATGAAATGAGAGAGAGTCCTAGCTGCGGAAGATATACAATGTAAAAGTATAGCAAAAATTTAGTTTCAAAAAGGAGGCCATATTGGATCTGCCAGACTCCAAGGCAACAAACTATCAGACAAGTATCAAATGGGTCAATTTATTTTTGATTTATCAGTCATGCATGCCTCTGAAGAGGATACGCTGCAGAGGGACTGAATTGATATCCATTTAGTCATTAAAGGGGCACTGTTTGTAAGGTAGTTCTCATGCTAATGAACACTAAAATGTTTTAAACAAAGAATCAAATGGGCCAATCTTCTTTTGATTCATCAGTCATGTCTATCTCTTGAGATGATATGTTGAAGAGACACTGAATATATATCCATCTAGCCATTAAAGGGACACTCCTTGTAAGGTAGTTCTCACCCAAAGAAACGAATAGGCCAATCTATCTTTGATCGATCATTCATGCATGCCACTGTAGATGATATATTGCAGAGGGACCGAGTCATTATCCATTCAGCCATTTAAAGGGACAATGCTTGTAAGACAGTTCTCATCCTAATGAACACTAAACTATTTTTAACAAAGAATCAAAGGGTCAATATACTTTTGATTCATCAGTCATCCCTGCCCCTGAATGTAATATATTGCTGAGGGACTGAATCAATATCCATTTACCCATTTAAAGAGACACTGCTTGTAAGATAGTTCTCAACTAATGGGTCAATCGATTTTTGATTCTTCATTCAATTGCCTACCCCTGAAGATGATATATTGCTGAAGGACTAAATCAATATCCATGTAGCTGTTTAAAGGGACACTGCTTGCAAGGTAGTTCTCACCAAAAGAAAAAAACAGGTCAATTTATTTTTGATGCTTGTCCAAAAAGATGATATATTGCTGAAGGATGGAATCAATATCCATTTAGCCATTAAAGGGACACTGCTTGTAATATAGTTCTCATCCTAAGTCAAATAAAATATTTTACTTCATAATAATTATATGTAATACAATGGATAGATTAAAATACCTCTACTTGTTTGATAGCAAAACAATGGGTTTCAAACTGACGAAAAAACTCTCCTACATGCACATTTTCAATTTTAAAAAGCAACCATTTGACTTTATACCTTTAGCTTCAATTGAATTATACTTTGAAAATGCCAAATAAATATATCATATATTGGAAAGTCACAACTAGATTTTTAATATTTGAGTTGAATACCTAGGTTTTGTGTTCTCAATATGTTGCCCTTTGTGTCCTACCTTTGATAATGATGTGTAATATGTCCTTGAATTGAATGTCCTTGAATTGAATGTCCTAGGTTAAACCTACTGCATACCAACTGAGGTGATACTTTTGCTGAGATTCAAGATTAAGATTCATAGATATGTTACATTTTAGGGGCTGTTTTATGATTTGTGTTTTCAATATGTTGCCCTTTGTGTTCTACCTTAATGATATTTTGATATATCGATTGATTGAATGGTCAATATACTTAAAATAGTCATGAGTGAAGACTAACATACCCCTAACATGATATTTAGAATGATTTGCATAGTCAAACTTAAATGCACTGAATGACCTTAGTTTTAATCCCTATGACCTAATTTTGTTTTGGGTGTGTTCATAATTTATAAAAGTAACTATTCCCATGTTATATTCAATGAAACCTTTGGGGGCACCTTTAGGTACATGGGGTAACGGATCCTTTCACCTTCATCCAACCGGGATTATTCAATATCTACTCATGCAAATCTGGACACTGTTGCTTTTCGTCTTCTTTTTAGAGTTGATTTTTGTCAGCATTATTATTAGACTCCAGATTAAAAATCAAAAATCTGAATCATGATCCGTCGTCATCTATCTTCATCTATTATCATTCATCCTCTATTACCACGTATCATCATCTTACATCATATGCCATTATGATATCTACCATTCTCTTTTATCTTACATAACCGTCTTCATCATCTATGGACATCTATATAATCTATAGTAGAGTCTAAGCATCTATCCGTCCATTCAAATAAAGAATATTACAAGTATCTGTAATACTCTGCTGATCCTGCCCCATAATAAAAAATTGAACTCATTCATTTTTACTCAAAATCCCACCCATCTGTAATTTTAGAAATGGCGTGGAGAGTGTTAGACTTGGAATCACGGATACAAACTTCTCAGTCTACCTGAAGACGAATGGTGAAAAAACATTCAATGAACTGAAAATGGAACTAGGGAATGACTTTCCAGAACATGACTTCATATTTCTATCTGCTGGAAAGAAACCCATCGTGTCAGTTTGTGCAGGAAAAGAAATAAAAATCAATCCCGGAACCGGTACATTAGGGGGATTTCTGCGATTTCAAGAAGAGTACTATGGCCTTACATGTTGTCATGTTTTAAAAGAATGGACAGATGGCATTGTGGAAATGAAAGATGAATCAACAAAGGAGTGGAAAGATATCGGATTCACTGATGAGGATAAAGAAAAGGCTTACATTTATTATGATTATGATGAAGCGAAAAATATATATGTACTTAATTATGATCTTGCCGTGTTCAAGGTAACAAATCAAAACAGAATCAAGAAACCTGGGAACGAAAACAAAAACGACTGCTGTTGCGAATTGACTCCTATTCCAACAACCAAAATTTCCGAAGTAGAAAAAACAGGATCGGCCACTGGACGACGAGTTGGAGAGGTGGAGGAAATGGTCTATCATCAGATAGTTAAATACCCTCTTAAAGGTGGTAAAGAAAATATAGACGTTGCGCTTTGGGATATGATTAGGATAAAGAATGACAACAATTGCTTTGCAGATAAGGGTGACAGCGGTTCCATTGTATTCTACAAGGATCAGAAAAAGTATTTTGCCATTGGCATGATTCATTGCATTGGCGAGGATGACAAAGGCCAATACGCCTATGCCTTTAAACTTCACAACGCTTTGAGTGAACTTCAAACAAAGCAAACCGGTGCTCTGCGAGATGCAACATTTGGATCCAATGGAGACGTTGTTTTTACCTGTCTTGGTCATATCTGCGGACAAAACATTGCTTAGACAATGATCAATCGATACGGCATGATGAAATTAAACGGCAAGCATCCACAGGTGCAACCCCGGTGTTTAATAAATGGTGGCGGCGGGAAGTGAGTAAACAGTCTGGACATATTTACTATATAGTTAGTTATGTAACTATATAAAACCAGAACAACGGCAACGCCAAAGCGTAGCGAATCCCATCGAACAGCCATGGCTGGCATATTTACAAACAAAGTATATAGCACAAATGGCAGCCATTTTTCAAAATGGCCACCTTCTATCATTAGACAGTGTCATTAGACAGTGTGCCATGCTTATAGTATTCACATACCAAATATGAAAAAATCGCTCCACTACTTTTCGAGTTATAGTAAAATACGTTAAAATGGCGGCCATTTTTCAAAATGGCCACCTTCTACCAATAGTGTCATTAGACAGTGTGCCATGCTTGTAATATTCACAAACCAAATATGAACAAAATCGCTACACTACTTTTCGAATTATAGTAAAATACGTTAAAATGGCGGCCATTTTTCAAAATGGCCGCCTTCTTTTTCAAAATGGCCGCCTTCTACCAAAAGTGTCATTAGACAGTGTACCATGCTTATAGTATTCACATTCCAAATATGAACAAAATCGCTACACTACTTTTCGAATTATAGTAAAATACGTTAAAATGGCGGCCATTTTTCAAAATGGCCGCCTTCTACCAAAAGTGTTATTAGACAGTGTGCCATGCTTATAGTATTCACATACCAAATATGAACAAAATCGCTCCACTACTTTTCAAGTTACAGCAAAAATCGTAAAAAAAGAGTAAAGGCCGCTGCCATGTGCTTCTTTAATATCTACATTTCTAGCTTTATTAATGTCCTAGATAATTTTTTTACATTTAAAACATATTCCTATAACAGTTTTACATATTGCAACTAAATTACTGTAAAATCAGCACTAAAATGGCCGCCATTTTTAAATGAGCGGCCATTTTGAAAATCGGCTTTCGAGCAGAACTTCTACCCCCATAGGGTATATGTGTACAGAATATAAACAAAATCGGGCTAACGGTATTTGAGTTATTGCCCGGACGGACGGACGGACTCTTAGACTTCCATCAACGCAAACATCAGTTCTGACGTCGCGAAATACGTAACTTGAATGATCTCACATCGCGAACGTGAAATCTTTAGTCGCGCACCACTATTTCTTCGCTCCCGAACTATTTCTCTACTCACGCACAGAGATCTGTGCTCGCAAACCACAATGTACAAGTGGTTCGCGAGCACGGATCTCTGTGACATCATTGGAGAGGTTAAGCTACCGTATAAAATCCAAAACGCAACTTAAACGTATCAATCGGCCCTATACAAATACATGTAGAGTTCACACATAAATACCCGTTCAGCTCTAGTGTTTGTTTAGACTACACCATAGCTTGTAATGATAACATAGTATCCCATTGATGAAGTTCAATAGCTGGTTTTATAATACATATTTTAAACGAGCTCGTTTCGTAAGATTATTGGAGTTAAATCATGCGTAACATACATCATCTTCTTCAGAAAGAATTATACTCTGCATCGAAATCAAAATTGCAAGGATAGTATTCAACAGACATGAGTATAATGATTCCCGTTGATAGCAACGTGAAATTTTAAAATCTCCCGTTCTAAACACGCAACTTTGAAGTTGAACGGGTATCTGAAGTAGACTAAAGCGATACAATCCTATGTTGATTCAATGTACTTTGCGTTTACGTATACGTTTTAAAAAACCGTATTTGCTTAACCTCTCCATTCTCACAACTCGTACGTGGAGTTTCAATCAAGCTATAGATGTTCAGAAACTCGTTGAAAATATTCTCAAATGTATGGTAAGTTGAATTATATGTACAGGTAATATCTAAATGTTGCTACTGTTTCAGCTTATGAGTCAATGGGCAAATGGTCAAACGCCTTATTTTTTTTTATTTCGAGTCATGGATTTGTGTCGCCCTACTGGCCTATCTGACGTTCAAAAACAATGTCTAACCCTACTATCACACCAAACTAGTTCTCACTACGTTCTCGAAAACGGGCTTAAACTGTGCACGAACGGATTTGACGTACTAAGAACCCACTAAGAACCGTTTGGGATCTGTTTACAAACTTCATGAAACTACTAGAACGAGTAGGTCCCCAGAACTTAGAGCATGCTCAAAATTTTCTGGTGATGGTCAAAACGTTGCAGAATCGGTTTTAAACTGTGTGCGAACTCACGATGCCCATGTCAAGCAGCGTGCCTACTAGGCACGCAGTTTGAAACTCTGACAAACTGCGCGCATATTTCAAAATGGGAGACGGGGAGGACACGACTCCCAAAAAGAGCCAAAATACGAAAAATACAAGGTTAGTCTCGTTCTAAAGATTGTACCATTCTGTGGAGATGAACTTAATTTACTCATAGTACTCAATGTTTTTCCCGATGTAAACCTAGTTATCTCAATATAAGGGTCTTAAGTAACTTCTGTGTTCAAAATTTACAGTGTAAAGTTATATCTATGTCTTTTTATCGTCATTTGCCGTTTATTCAGCCATTGTGTCTGTGTATGCGATAATATATAGGATCACTCCATCTGATTAAAGCAGCAAAGTTTGTGTTCAAAACGATAATACGCCATAAACGTGATTTAAACATTTTATTTGTCAAACTGCGCGCCTATATTCACATGTATTTCCCAAACTGCGTGCCTAATATTTCCAAACTGCTTGCCTAGATCCAAGCTTGTTTTGTATTATTAGAAAACATAAGCGCCATATGTATGGCACATATGTGTCTAATAGTAGAACCCCATAATTGAACCACTATGAGAGTCCATCCACCAAGATGGTGATCTGAAAATAAAAGTTTTTTCGTTCCCAACTTAATTGTCATTTCTATTATACATTTTGACTTTCAATATGAAAATCTCATAAAATCTGACGATACAGCAAAATTTCCAAAGCTACATGTGCCTCTGTAGAAATTACAATGATAATATGTAGTTTTAATAGTGTATGCGCACAGTTTGTAATTTCTGGCTAAAATAGGCGCGCAGTTTGTGGTTTATTTCTTTTTAATCTCCCGATTATCTGTTTTATCTCGAAATATTCTGTTTGAATTATACATGATAAATGTGTAAGGAATTAAATATAAAACGAGTCTAAAGTATTTGTCATTTATGTTTAAAGTGCTAGATCGATTTACGTATAAATTCCCGTTAAATCAGTGACGAAAATGCCATTAATCTGCTTATGTTTTAAAACTTAGATTCATTTGGACATAGTTTTTGCTAGTATTTGCAAGATTCGTATATTCGCCACAGAATGAACGCATTGAACAAGAAAACAATGCAGGATAAATGTCTTTAAATTACGCTTCAAAATACAGACTCCAACTTAAATGATGCAATGTTGTTAGGCACGCAGTTTGTGATCGAAACAAACTGCGCGCCTAAGAAGGCGCGCAGCTTGACATGGGCACCGTGGAACTGAATGAACGTACCTACAACGTTCTACGGTCTGTTTACGAACGGCATGGACTTTTCCGGATGGGGAATGTGATTTCGAATTTTGAATCGATTCAAATTGAATCACGTCCAAGTTAGGATTTACCTCATTAAATTGCTTTGCATATCATAATATTTGATACACGTTTGTGTTAAAAATGTCATGGGAATTCTGCCTACAACGTGTGAAATAAGGAAAAAAGAAAAATCGTACCTTAATTCGATGTTCCGACATTTTGTTACCAAAACGAACCGTTTCGGTAACCAGCGTAATCGAGTGGATCCCCAGTGAAGGATAATTCTTTAGGAATACCATGGACCTACAGAAAGTAACCATGATACCAATATGTTATCAAGGTTCAACATAAAACATTTGCATTTGCAACCCGTGTGATAGAAAAATAGACTAGCTTACATGAGTTGACAACTTGAACATCTTTACAAAAATAATGTATTCTACATAACAAATTCTTATTCAGTCATCTTAATGTACAACCTACGCAATTTTTAATCATAGAGCTTGTGCCTTTAATGTCAATTTTGGCACCATTGCAAGTAATGAATTGTCCTAATTCTCGAAATCGCTGTTCCCTCTTCAAAAGAGGAGACGCGAAAATATTTCCTTATAAGGTCAAAATATTTCCCATGATGCAGTTCGCAGAGGAACAAATTTATACTTCCTTGTTTTCCCTCATAGGTTTAACATGGGGATTTTCACACCTATTTTTCAAATGATATATTCGTTCATATTCCCGTATGAGAGTACAGAAAAAATTATTAGAAACGATTGATCTCTTATTATCTTAATAAAGCTATTTTTCCATTGTATTGATTCATAGCGTGGTGAAAACGATGATTGAAAAGTAAGAAAATATTCCGGAAGAGAAGGTCACGTGATCAGTTGACTAGTCGCCATATTGGAAAAACAATTCCATTCGACTTTCAATACGTTCATCCCAATCTTACCGCACTACAAACTGCAACATCGATGCAACAACTGAATAAAAGTATTCATCTTCAAATTACATTATATAAGTAAGTTGAAAACCCACAAACAACTGAGCAGTAGACCAAAGAAGACGCGTCGCTATTATCTAGGTCAATCTGTTCAGTGGTCTGAAAGCAAATCTACAGTATTCGTTTCCGAATTTTGTTGTTCATTGTACAATCTTTTATTGACTATTTATACTGACTATTAAAGCAATGACAAAGAAGAATACTTCCGATGGTGTCATTGTTTTATTTAGCGTGCGGGTGTAAAAACAAAATTGCGTAATTGGTTTGATTAAGAACTTTCGAGTCACGCAAATAGCTACGCGAAATGCATAGTGGGAAAATATTGATCAATCAAATTTTGTCCTTTTTGAGTGCTTTTTCAAGACATATTTGCGAACGTTCTGATTCAAAGAGCGAACCGCGAAAGGGAGATTTATGCGTGTTTATCAGAGTGTTATAGAGAGTGTGAGTTGTCTGATCCCTTGTCGTTTGGCCATAGGCGTAGCCGGGGGGGAGGAACTTGAGTTGTATCAATTTTTGTAAAATTCAAAAAGATATCCAAACAAATCTTACTTACGCCACGATCGCATCCCCCTGACTGAAAACAAAAAATGGCGATCCCACCCCTGACTGAAAGCTAGCTATGCCCATGTTTGGCTATAAACAACTAGCAAAATTGTTCAATGATACTTATGTATAAACATAACATGAAAAGCATTTCTTATTAGAATGTAGCCATTATGATGATCTAAGATGTGATTTTTATGAAAATGTTAACAGAAATTGCCTTATTTAGATGTAACATCAGCCAATTCTACACTTCTTTTTGTCTCCATTATGAATTGTACTTCACTCCAAAGACCATTAGGAGCTTTAGTTTATAATATGTACAATAAGAGATCTCTTAATATTGATAGGCTATAATCACTAAATGAGTATGCATGTCAACTAAGTTTCCTTTATAAAATATCTATTTATTTAAAATGTATCTAGTCAGAAACTCCTTGGTTTTATGATGCCTCTTTTTAGTGCTTTGAGCTATCGACCTTGGGGAAGATGGTCTCAATTCATTACTACAGAGGTGTATATTATCTATGGGGTTCTTGTTTTATTTATTCACTCATGCAACTCCCAATTAGTGCAATATATGTACTTATCATTCAATATGCATCTCACATTTAGTGCAATATATGTATTTATTGTAATATTTGTCCTCAACCATATGCATTATGTATTTCACAATTAGTGCAATATTCATATTAATTGAAATATTTGACCATATGCAACATACTACTTACATTTAGTGCAATATATGTATTTATCATGCAATATGCATCTCACATTTAGTGCAATACATGTATTTATTGTAATATTTGTCTTCGATCGTATGCATTGTGTATTTCACATTTAGTGCAATATTCATATTTATTGTAATATTTGACCATAGTGCAACATCCTACTCACATTAAGTGCAATATATGAATTTATTGTAATATCAGTCTTCGACCATATGCATGATACAATTCACATTTTGTGCGATATTTGTATTTATTGTAATTTTTGACCATATGCAACATGCTACTCTCATTTAGTGCAATACATGTATTTGTTATGCAATATCCATATCACATTAGGTGCAATATATGTATTTAATATAATGATTGACAATATCATTCCATGAACTGCTTATTTATGCCAAACTGATTAATCAGACAATTTATATTTATTTATTTATATCATTGGTTATTATTGTATAAATTTTTACCAGAGACATTTTTTGTCTCTGTCTTTATGAATGTTGACCCAAGCTGCCCATTGGGGGTAGTAATGGGTGACACTCAGATATAATGTATACTGTGTCTCATAAGTCGGCACCGGCTGGTGATGTTACAAAATGTTGTTTTTATTATGTATTTTATATGTATATTGTAATATCAGTGACACAAAAATAAACTATTTTAAACTAAAACTAAACTGTATATTTTGGTATTCTTTATAACTAATAATGGCTCACAAGTGAGGTTCTGACAGTGGCAATAAAATAGTTGTGCAAAAAGATACTTTTATAAAATGTGCAGATTGTATAATGTGTGTATATACATGGGCTATGGTATATATAATGTGTAATAAAAAGAGATATAATTTTAAAAATTTGTATATGTATAAAATATTTAAAACATATGTATATAATTTTACATAATGTGTATATGTATAATGTGATTGAAAAAAGGAGATCTAATGATTATATAATGCTCATTTTGTGTTTTGTGTACAAAAAGATCTAATCTTATATAATGTGTTTATATACGCGTAAGTTATATAATTATTTCCTATGTTGTAAGAAATATTGTTGTACATATTCATTTTTTTTCTAGGCAACATTCAATTTATATGATAATTGTAAATGTTACTGAACAAATACTTTGGGACCAGTGTATGCCCTAAGGATTCCAGAGCTGCTGGTCAAAAAGGCATTACTGACCAGTTGCAATGTTATTTTCCTATACCTAGTGAAAAAATCAACTGGTCATTATCAAAAGTAACCAGATAATGACCAGCTGTCCGACGCTTAAGGCGTGCCCTGTTTGGGACAAAATGTGCAATGTCCGCATGGATAATCTTTAAACTAAGATATAGTTAGGGAATAGAGACTGAGATTCTATTATTTATGGCGCAATACATGACAGAAAATTTTATTCTGTTAATTGTTATAAGACCGAAAACAGCCAGAAAAACAACTTAGTGGTCATATATGCCCCAATATAGACCAATAAATCAATTATTCTAGTTATTTTGATGTCACATATCATATTAGAATTATGTATATATTTAAAGGTTCCCTTTACTGTAATCTAAAGCTACAAAATATCATGTCCTGAATTGAATTTTATATTTGAAGTCTATTTTATTAAAATGTAAAACATTTTAACATACATATAAATGTATTTTCTGAGTAACTTATCAAGGTTGATGTTTATAGAACACACAAATTTTGATACAATATGTGTAGAACATGCATAATATAATAAATATAATACAATATAAAATACTCAAAAGGAAATGAAATATTAAAAAGTACTTTGGTGTTGTGTATATTACATTTGATTCCCTGGTAAATGATGAGCAAAACATGACATAAAAGGATGTGTCTGGGTATATGCCCTTATGGTCCCTCGTCAAATGTCTGTGAAATATGGATTTTATTACTGTCCTAGTTATATTTAATAAGTATATTTACTTTTTCACGAATTTTGATGCATAATTAACCCCCTGCTGAGAGTCAGAATAAGTATCTTAACAAACAAAAAATAGTCATTATCATAGAAAAAAAACACCAATGGCAACATGTATGACATACAAAGAAGAAATAACTTAAGACCGATGAAGAATTAAAAAGAAAATCATATTTTTGAAATATATTTAAGGATTAAAATTTTTTTCAAATTTTTGAATTTCCCGCCAGTCTAATTTGAAGGGGGAAAAACAAAATGGTTGCCATTTGTTGTAAGAAATATCAGGAAAAAAGTTGCTTCACTTTTAGTTTTCACAATGAGCACAGTTTTCCGGTTAAGGTTTTTTGACTGATTCTGACTCTTCATCACCAGGGTCATGTATAGAGATTATAAAATTGAAACCAAAATGTTGTGCTCGGCATGAATTTGACTGAAATATGGGTAACATCACCAACACAATTGTGAAGTCTCAAAACTGGATGCTCAGTAACTTTGAGTGACTATAATCCCTTGATTACCCAGATAAACACCAATTCACTTATCCAGAAATACCATTCAATGTCTATTCAAAGAAAGTAACCAATGTTTTGGAAGATATGTTTCAAACTTTTTGCATAAATAATTCATTTAATATTTGCCATTGATTTTTTTTCAATTCTGACAAAGTGATATGCACTGTCTTTGATGCAAATATTCTTCATCAATTGTGATACAAATTGATATTTTTGTAATCTCAGAAGAAGGATAAGATATTGAAGTTTAATAATATGTGTGATTGAGTTGGTTTTTCAGACATTACAATTTTCAATATTTTCTAAGTCGATACCCAGACTCATTCCCAGACTCATCCTTTACACCCATATTGGGTAAATGTCAGCAGTCCTGTTAAGAGCCATAATAAATATCACAATTTGAGGCTCCCTCCATTCATTTAATAGACTAGATGGGAGTAGAAATAATCTTGATTCATGCCATTTAATATTCAAATGTCGGTCAAAGTGATGTCATATTTGAAATCTACATGTAAAAGTAAATCTAGAAATATTGTTTCGAAAATTGTTTATCAACTTGGAAAATTAAATTTTTGGAAAATGTGATTTTTAGTTTGGGTTGATTCCCCATAGACCCCATGTTACAAAATCACAAAAAGTGAGATATATTTTCTTGTATTCGACAAACAAAATTTTCATTTACTGGACATATTTTAATTTGCACAACATTTATATACATAAGGGTTATATGAAAATTGTACCACTAAAACCGATGCAATTTAAGTTTAAGGGAACTTTCTAATATACCTGCCATGCTATCTGACTCGAACGAGCCACCTGATGGTGAAATTGGTAACTACCTACTCGCATCTGCGTTATTAAGGATCACCAGACTGCTTTAAAAAACACAATATAAATCAATGTAACGATACTGTACATAACACAATAATGTCCCTCTCTGGTGTGGCTTAATAACCATTAAATATTAGTCTCGTTTCATGACTGTAGACCTCCCCATTATCTACTTCACCAACACAACACACTTGTCATAAGGGCCTGTAGCTATACTAATTAAATATTTGAGGATACACATACACATACAAGTGCTAAGGAGAGCTTTTGTATCAGTATTTATTGAACAACATGAGTGTCCCAGAGTTGTATTAAAAATACAGATCATATTCTAGACTGATCATGCAGATATTGTTTATATCCACCCCTCAATCCAATATCACTTTTTGTGTTTTTCTCAAAGATTCATTGAATTGTTTCATGATAGGGAGGAAAGGTTTTAGATATTTATCATATTCACTCCCAAATCCTTGAAATTAAGATAACTGTTGAAGATATCAATTTATTTAGTCACTCTGATCTCCTCGTGTATAGTTGGTGGGAGGGTGGATATCAGATATGTTGTCATATCCACCCCCAAAGTGTGTAAATCCTTCAGGTATTTAACATCTTCTTCATCTTGACTTTTGTCAGATTCTGGAAATTAAAAACTCAAATTATTTCAATAAAAATGTACAAAGGGAAACAATTGAATAAACCATGAATAACTTACAAAACCATCAATCGATGTCAGGTAAGTAAATTATACACAAGCTTATTCTTTAATTAGACATCAAAAACATCTAATTAAAACTTCTAACTACCATCTATCATCTGTTTAACTGAAGTAAATCTGATCTAGTTTTCCTATTATCCCAATGACAACTAAGAAGAATCAATATCTAGAACTACTGATAATTATGGCTTCCAGAATTCAAGATGGCTATCCTGAAATTAATCAGGTGTAACTTGATACCTTTTTAACAAAGATGAGGAAAACCCCAGGGCTCATAGATGACCTCATGGATTACCTCTCTTGCCTACAACCTTTGTTTGTCTGCCATTGTGTTTCTGTTATGTCCCTTGTCATTTGACAAATCAGTGATGAGATTTTTCAATTGAACTCTGGGGTTTTCCATCCTCTTCTTTTAACATGTGTATGACACAGTTTTTAAAACTTACCCAGTTTTGTTCGAGATTTCAGATCCTCTCTATTGAGTTGCATTGTGTGTTCACGATCTTTAAGCGCCATCTGGTGCTCTTGTTTCAGAACTTCTAGTTTTTGGCGGTGTGCTGACTTATTGTTCTCCATGTCTTGTTCTAAAATAATTTTTATGCTTATCTTTTAACATTTAATATTGAATAACCATTCAATGATGGGTCATACAATCAGTTACATGCAGTGCAAAGTCCCAGCACATTTAGCTTAGACATTTTCTGGTGCCATCACTTGATTGCAAGGGCATCAAATATGAATTTAAATCAGAAAAATCTCCCAATACTTTACAATGTACTAAGGTCATATGAGCACAGAGCCCATGTCAATCTTGTTATCCTTACTATAGAATCTAATGACAGAAATTCATGAAAGAAAAGTATTTGGATAACCAGATTTGAATTAAGACCTACTTTGTTTTGTTCTTTCTTGTTCTTTCTTCAGTTGGAAATCCCGTAATCTATGCTCCTGTTCCTGCAGTTCTGCATTAAGTCTAAGTTGGGTTCGTGATTGGATAGCGTCATCTTGCATTATCTATAAAGTAAAGGTGCAATACGTCTATTTGATAGATATTAATTGATTCATTTAATTAAAATTTTTGGTATAAACAGTTTTGGGCAGATTGATGTGTTTGTAAATCTACTGGAAGTAAAGGGGGTAAAAAACAACAAAGGTACCCTTCCCCACCCCCTTGTGACAACATAAACAACTTATTAGTGGTACATGGTGTATCATTTACCATCCCAAGGGTAATTAAATTATACAAAAACATGTGACATAACATATTAGCTTAATTTAATAATTTCCCAGTCTTATAATAACTTTTTAGCGGGAGGGGGGGTGGGGGTGGGTGTCATACATTGCAATAATCATGGAATCACTACCTGCAACTGATCGCTAGCTCCATATCCTCTGTAGACCACCTTACTGATTGTGTAGCCTATTCTACTGGCTCTTTGAGTAAGCTGGGTGAATGTTTCCAAGTCTCCGAGTAACTGAGTCGCTTTTTGAAATTTCTCAAAAGTTAGTTTCCCAGCGAAGGCAATAACATCTGCACACACAGCACTGAAAGAAGGCAACATCACATTCAGATTCATGGAAGTTCATTAATCAGATTTTTAACTTTAATGAAAACAGTTTTTGAACAAATAACTTGTAGATAAGTTGTGGTTTAAAACATCTATGCTAAATTAAATATTTAGTTCAGAGAAAAATTATTTATATTATATTTTAGTCAGAATTCAGATTCTAATATCGGAAAGTGGAATTGTACAATTGATAATACTGTAAAAACCTGTGTGAAGCGAACACCCATGGAGCCATGAAATTAAATATGTTCACTGTAGGCATGTGTTCTCTACAGAAAGGTGATTTTATACAGAAGTCAGTGAAGTATATGCTGAAAAGGAGTGTTCACTAGACACAGGTGTTCACTGGAGAGTGGTGTTTACTCAGACAGGTTTAACTGTAATATAAAATAAAATTAAACAATTTATCATCTCCTTAACCACAATCCCCTCTCCTCCCAAACCCATGCAATTAAAAAGTGATAATGAATCATTTTGTTCAGCCTAGAAGGTAACAGCTTCTTACAGCAATTACAGTCTTCCGGGGTGGCTAAATTGAAAGGACAGCAATTGAAAGGACAGCAATTGAAAGGATAACAAGGCATTAACATGCAAAATGTCACCACCTTCCATTTGTTACAGATACCACCTGCCAAACACCAACCGCTTACTGCCAAACACCATCCATAAACAGTGGTGGTGACATAACAAAAGTTACATATACTCACTTGATCATATCTGAGATTGGGTCATGTGTAGTATCAAGCTGCAAATGGAAGGAAAATTTTAATCTTAGATACATCCCCAAACTTAAGAAAAAGAATAGGTGTTACATTATTATTAAGGCATTAATATGCAAAATGTCACCACCTGCCATTTGTAACATTTGTTAAAACAACGAATAACAAACACCAACAACCAAACACCAACCACCATCCACAAAAAAGTTTGAGACTATAACAATATGCCACAATAAAGGGGGGAGGTTTATCCTTACTCATAGATGTTTAAATATAGAAAAGATGAAATAAACAATTAATGGGTGATATTCCAAAAAGGCACTTGTCTTTGCAACAAGATGTTAGATCATATGATTTTAACTTTGATGAGATGCTTTTTTCTCAATTTATATGCCACTTATATTTTTCTCTGATCTTATGCATCCAGAGCAGGCATTGTACAATCTTAGTTTTCAATAGTATTTATTTTTCAACTAGCACTATATATCACTATCGTAGTTTTGTCCTCATCTCTTTAACAGACTCTTCTTCTAAAAACACGATGACCTAGTAACACACTGAATTCAAGTGACATTGAATTAATCTATTATACACTTAAGAATGATGAAGAATACCAAAAACAATTTTGTTTAATTAACCTTAGCTTATAATGGAAAATCAAAATAAATGCAGTGTGTGCAAAACTGAATGAATCAACAAAAATAAATGTTTCTAGCTACTTTTTTCCTATGATTCAATATAAAATGTCTGTATTTAAAACTTACCATTTTAATGACATCATCGAGTTCATAGAAAAGCATCAATTTTACTGTTAACATTGTGTCATCTATAGTCCTCACACCTAGCACCTAAATAAAAAAACATGTACAAAAAATATGTACATATGCACAATAGCAAGTAAAACAAGGCATTACCATGATAAAATGCCACTGCCTGGTAAGCTTATCCTCTGAGCGTAGTGCTCCGAAATCCGGAATTTTTTTGAAGGAGCTATGGATTAAGGACACCTGCTTAGGAGAATGGGTAAGTTAAGTGTATTATTTGTTAAAGACATGAGTCACAAAAATGGTAACTATTACAATGTGCCAATACTTCTTGGTAGTGACAAAACAAAATTAAAAAATTATGACTGAACATGTATAAAGCATGTGACATGTTTACCACCAAGAAGCAATCACATATTGCACACCATTCACTTTATGTAACCCCTTCTAAACCAAGGTCCATTAACAGTACAATAAAGGTTATAATGTTGGCTACCAGTTCTTAAATCTCACCATATAAATATGCAATTAATAATGAGAATTGATAAACAAGGCATAAACATATCAGTATATCACTGAATGGTTACTAAAGAGTAACAATTGGTTACTGACACTGAACACAGATGTCAACCACCTGACATAAAAATGGTTGCTATAACAATGTACCAGCCATTTTTTGGGGGCAGTATCACATGATGTAGGGACTATTGGTTCATCAATAAAGTTGACTGACCCTAAGTAAAATTCATCCCATTAAATGTTAATCAAATGTTCTTTCTAACGCTTTGGGAAAACATTGTGACCATTAATGTTTAACACTTACATTATAGTAAAATTGGTCAGGTTTGTAGGTAAGTTGGGTAAACTTGTTACGCCCTACTATCATTCGTCCTATTTGGTCTGGGTCTTGACCATGCCATTTGAACTCATGCAGCCTGAAATAATAGTTCACATATACCTCCTACATGTCCTAGACAGTTATAAGTTGAATATAATATAATGGAATTGGTGGTCAATTCTTGGACAAGAAACATGGAGAACTTTTTGTGTCCCCCATTCATACTATAAGCCTTGGTTTAATCATAGGCTTCTCTAGAAAGCCCATGGTTTATATAACTGTACTCAGGTGTTTGATTGAAGTCATGCAACCTAAATAATGGTCCACATATATTTTGAGGATTGTAACATAATACAGGATTCCACTTAAACTAAAAATTACAGACTAAAGAGAAAAAACAGATTCTGAGTTAATATACCTGGTACATGGGAAAATAATTTGATTTTATAAAAATGTATTTCTTTAACATCCACCAAAAACCAAAAATCACTAATAAAAGGTTGCCCCTGTAATGCATTTTCACATATACTATTAAAAGAATCAGTAATTTATATTATAAATGGTTTGTACTGTAATAGAATACAAACACTGACAAAAAATCTACCCACCATTCTTCAGCTTCTGGCATAAACACTGTAGGTCCCTCAATTATCCTTCTCTCCACACTATTGTCTTTAAGCTTCTTATAAACAACGATAGAATGGTTGGCATCTATTTTGTCACATTTAAATGTTTGGATGTGTTCGTGTTCCAGGATGTTACAGTACATCTCACATGGGCTGGAAAGATGGGAAAATAATGAAAATGAAGGTATGGAAGATTTAAGTCTTTCATGAAATTGTCTTTAAGCTTCTTGTAAACAACTATAGAATGGTTGGCATCTATTTTGTCACATTTATATGTTTGGATGTGTTCATGTTCCAGGATGTTACAGTACATCTCACATGGGCTGGAAAGATTGGATAATAATGAAAATGCAGGTATAGAATATTTAAATCTTTCATGAAATTGTCTTTAAGCTTCTTGTAAACAACTATAGAATGGTTGGCATCTATTTTGTCACATTTATATGTTTGGATGTGTTCATGTTCCAGGATGTTACAGTACATCTCACATGGGCTGGAAAGATTGGAAAATAATGAAAATGCAGGTATAGAATATTTAAATCTTTCATGAAATTGTCTTTAAGCTTCTTGTAAATAACTATAGAATGGTTGGCATCTATTTTGTCACATTTATATGTTTGGATGTGTTCATGTTCCAGGATGTTACAGTACATCTCACATGGGCTGGAAAGATTGGAAAATAATGAAAATGCAGGTATAGAATATTTAAATCTTTCATGAAATTGTCTTTAAGCTTCTTGTAAACAACTATAGAATGGTTGGCATCTATTTTGTCACATTTATATGTTTGGATGTGTTCATGTTCCAGGATGTTACAGTACATCTCACATGGGCTGGAAAGATTGGAAAATAATGAAAATGCAGGTATAGAATATTTAAATCTTTCATGAAATTGTCTTTAAGCTTCTTGTAAATAACTATAGAATGGTTGGCATCTATTTTGTCACATTTAAATGTTTGGATGTGTTCGTGTTCCAGGATGTTACAGTACATCTCACATGGGCTGGAAAGATTGGAAAATAATGAAAATAAGTCATTCATGAAATTGTCAGTAACTAATTTATAAGATATCGCTTCTAAAGTGACACTTAATTTTCCAATAAGAAATTCAAATCGTTGAATTGGATCTATTGAAAATTTTACATGTACAATATTGCATAGAACAATACAAGTTCATTTGAAAGTGAGAGAGTTTTGGAAAATAAGCAATTGCAGATGTCCAAGACAGACAATGGCAAAGACAGTAATCCAAAATCTGAAAATTAATTTTTTCAAATAATTCTATGTAATAGCATCCGAAGACAGAAAACGCCATTTTTATGACTAAATTGCAAATCATGTGTGTTGTTCATGTATATTATTACTGTTTCACACATTTTATTTTACTTTTTAAAAAGAGATATCCACTTTAATTGAGAAAGTTATTCCAAACTTAGAGGGTTGCATTTTTCGTGCTACCCTGTATTTTAACAAGTATTCTTACCCTCTCTTGTGCTTAATGTGTCCACTTTTAAATTTGATCACCAGGTACTCATCTTGACTTGCTGTGTATCTCTGCAGTCTATGAAACCGTTCTCTAAATAGAAACACCTGAAAGAATATAAACACCTCAATAGGAACATCTAAGAATATTAAAGTCTCAAAAGATACATCTTCAAAAACCTATTATAAAATCAAAACAACTGAAATACATGTAATTATGAAATGATTACAGAAACATCAGACAGCAGAAACACCTTCAACTTGGGTGAACCAATGGTATAAAAATAAACATTATTAATGTCCCTACATTCATTAACATCATCTCTTAGAGCTATAAAGAAACTAGACTGGTATTAAAAAACATTCAAAGTTTACTTATTAAATGGGAAATGAAGGAGGGGGATGGCATAATAAAATAATTTAGTTTTTCAAAACTGTCAACATTTAATTACCAATATCATAAAACTTTATAAAAACTTACCCGTGCTGGGCCTACAAGTAAACGTCCCTCACCCAGATAGTTTAGAACAACTGCCTGTTCCCCCTCGCGTACTGTCTTGTATTTCATTCTTGCTTGGCTACAATTCAAAGTTTGATGACTGTCATTATATCAGCAATGTATTTGTCAAAGTATGATCTGGAATACAAGCAGAGAAGACAAAGCTATGCACCAGATAATATTGAAAAGAGCTGTAACATAAATGTGTAGAAAATGCATGGAAGGGTGTACAAATTAACTTTGTCAAACCATGTGATCTAAGATTAGATCCACGCTTACCTGTTCCAGGACCTGGACATTCTTGGAATGAGATAACACTCATGGCCTAGACTATATCCTCTAGTCTAGAAATTTTTTGAAATTTGGAATGAAATTCAGTCTATTGGATATAGACTATCTCATGGCCCTTCAAAACCCATGGATCCACTGGCATTAATTGTTTTCTAATCCATTCTGTTGTATATCTCTGGTTACTAGTGTGGGTATTGATGTCAAACTATTTCAAAACATTTCATAGCCAATGATTTTGTTAGATCATACTCATAGATAGAAAGTCATGATTAACTCATGCAAATGATTTTACATTACATGTACATAGTGAAATTATAAATGTAGTCTAGCATTTAGTTAATAGTGTAGTATTGTCTTGAGTCAAGACAGTTTAGTTTGTACATAGACTAATGTGTCATGTTTTGATACAATTGTCAATAAAATAAATATATATTGATAACTGATTTCATAGAAATAACTTGTCAAATGCAATGAAAATGACCAATATACAACCTCAATTATCACCTACCTCAGTGGACGAAAACGTTATATCTTGTTGCCGAAATGTTCTTCAGATACTGGAGGTAGCTTGCATCAGCAATGTGATTTCATAAAGTCACGATTATCACCCGATTTTACCAGAATTAAACATAGCTTAATGAATCATTTTTGTGTATGCTGGTGTCACGCCCTCTTTATTTGTAAACAAATGCTATACACTGAACGAACCATTTTCAACACATCGATATACTAATTTGTACTAGTATGACATCTATAAAAGGAGTGAAAGTATAGTAGGCAATGTAAGACATGTAAGAGTTAGTGTGAAATTGTGTCACATGCCCCTATTGTTGATTGTCAATTCTTATTGTGCCTCATCAAGTATGAAGTTGATTGTTCCTTTTCTCATATTTATTTTTCCTCACTAGCCCATTGACATTGATTGTTCATCTCGTGTGAATATGCTGGCTCTCCTCACACAGAGAACTATCTACAACATATGATGATTTGCCCTCACAGCCGGGCCTCACAGCAACTCTTTCTTAAATGGGAAGCTGGTTGTTCCTTATCCATAATATAGTGTTTGAGGTTCTTCCGATTTTTTCTCCATCTTATGTGTTTTTGATTGCTTCTTAAGTTGTTTATTGTTCCTTATCTAGTGTTGATTGCTCTTCATAGTGTGCTCCTCGTTGATTGTTCCTTATCTAGTTTGAATGTTCTCCATCTAATGTGTTGTGGATTGTTCCTTCTCCAGTGTTGATTGTTTTTCATATATTGTGTGTTTTATGGCTCACTGTTGATTGTTCCTTATCTGGTTTGAATGTTCTCCATCTAATGTGTTTTGGATTGTTCCTTCTCCAGTGTTGATTGTTTTTCAAATATTGTGTGTTTTATCGCTCACCGTTGATTGTTCCTTATCTAGGTTGAATGTTATCCATCTAATGTGTTGTGGATTGTTCCTTCTCCAGTGTGATTGTTTTTCATATATTGTGTGCTTTATCGCTCACCGTTGATTGTTCCTTATCTAGGTTGAATGTTATCCATCTAATGTGTTGTGGATTGTTCCTTCTCCAGTGTTGATTGTTTTTCATATAGTGTGTATTTTATTGCTCATCGTTGATTGTTCCTTATCTAGAGTTGATTTTTCTCCATCTAATGTGTTGTTGATTGTTCCTTATCTCATGTTGATTGTTTTCAAATAGTATGTGTTTTAATCGCTCATCGTTGATTGTTCCTTATCTCGTGTTGATTGTTGTTCACATAGTGTGTTTTGATTGTTCCTCGGTGATTGTTCTAGTTATAGTTGATATAATAGATAGATGAGTTCAAACCGGGTTCAAACGCGGCCAGCAATGATATTATACATTTTGTAGTTGAGGTATGTCCCGGGAGGTTGCACATATAGGGTAGGTCACAAGTGTCACAAACTTATGACAGCGGGCTAAAAATTTAACATAGGGAACAGTTTAGAGACCCCTGGCCGACAAATTCAGATATAACATGTACAATGAAAAAGTTGTCACGTCTTCATTATCTTATAATGTTGGTTAACTGTCCCGGTAATTTCCCGGGGCGATCAAAATCCCGGGATCGCACCTGCCTTACTTACATCAGGTCAAAGGTCAAATCACCTGGCCGCAATGCATCATGGGAATAAGGAAATAGTAAACGGCCATGTTGAAAGCGTAACTGAATATTTTTAGTAAAAGTTAGTTTTAAGCGTGTAAAGGTAATCAAAATGGCAAATATGTTATACACACTGATACCTACGATTCTTCTTGTAACTGGTAAGTGAACATTTTATGCTATATTTTCAAAACAACATCTAAAATTCAAGGATAAAAGCAACACCAAATATTTTTTAATTTTTAAAACTTTTCACTTGTTGATTTCCTGTTGTAGGGCTATGTGTCATATCTGAGTCAGCTGTGATCTAAAAAATGAACTTATTATGATATTGTAGTAGCCTTAAGATAGTTGTAATCTGTTGTTTCTAGTAAACATAGTAATTTTTCCTTGCTGCTTTTGAGACTAGTAAGGCCAGAAAGTCGAAAGTTGAAAAGTTGGCTTGAACACAAATTGTGAATGCTTACTTAGGTCCAAAGCCTTCTCCTATATTCCGGCTTTGAGTAGAAGATAGAGCTGCCTTGGTACTATGAATATTGTAAATCATTGTGTTACACGCACAGTAAATATGGCATAATAATATGAAATATACCTTTACAGTTGGGGACAAAAATAAATGACAGGTCGATTTTCGATCACCATTTCCTAATTATGGTGGTCTGAAAGCCCATAATTTCCAATATTGTCTAGATATATATCCCTTAAAGTTTGTATATTTTACATTTTGTATAATCTCATCCACTGATGTATGGCCTCTTGTAAATTCTCTTATTTTTAACATGGGAAATCCTCACTTCAGCAAATCCACCTGTCATTTATTTATGTCCCCAACTGTATGTATAGATTTGAAGAACATCAGCCCACATCCCCGTCTGAATCGATTGTTATATTTGATTTCTCTAAGTGAGAATAATTTCAAAGTTTCCTCCATTTTATTCACGTCCAGAACCGGAAGCCATTTTTCGCTACAGCGAGAAAATGTCACCATGTGTCAAACTCCGAAATGAAATTTTGAAATATCTAAATCCAGACAAGCAACGCTTCATCCTAAATATAATTAATATTCTTAAAAATATTTATAAAATTAAAAAAAAATGAGTACTAGGTGCGTGTAGGTGCGTGTAGCACCTTTTCTAGAGTACATACGAAATCAATGAAGTTACGTCTAGCTGTAAGCTAGAGACTCGAGTAAGTGAATGCAATCAAACGTCTAGGCTAAATGTCTTGTTTAAAGCTATGGTCACGCCCTTCATCCACTTATCTTGCTGAAGCCATTCACGAGAAATACTTTGTGACTTATTCACTTCGACACTTCTTTGTAGAATTTCTGTTTTCCACCACGTTTGATTTCTGGAAAAATTAAAATCTCGTGAGATCTCGATCCATGTGAAAAAAAAACTTGACTTCCCCTAGATTGGAAATTAGAGCAAATAAACAAGTTACACATTACACCCCTTCGCCCTAGTATATAAGTTTCTAGAAAAAGTTGATGTCCACAAATAAGCTCTACTAACAAGTGGGCCGTGTGATTGAGTAGTCAGTAGTGAAATACTAATTTTATCTCTTTCAAGCCTAATTGAATCAAGGGCATTTCACTACCAAAATATACACTTTAGATTTTTGAATGGACACAGAATATGTCAGTTTGTATCATTTTAGGAAGCATGTTGCAGTTGATATATTTTTGAACAAATTCATTTACGATTAAGACAAAAATATTCATGCGTTCAAAATTCAAATGATATAAACAAGGGTTGAAACTTAATTTTGATGTAAGTTTGAACAATTTTAGTATAACCTTGAGCAGAATATCAGATAACAGAAAATTTGATTACAATTGAAACTTTTTGGCTGAATTAAATATTTGATCGTCATCAATTGTGTTGATCAAAGAGATAATTAGCATTCTTAATAGAATTGATGCATATATTTGAATTATGTTAGGCAAAATGATCCTGTTATATATATAATGTAATTCATATATTACCAACTTAATATTTACATAAACATAAATATGTAATAAAGGTTAGGTGTATAGCTGTTGTTCTATTTACTTTTTTAAGTTATGTCAGTTGACCAATTAATTAATTTTATTTATTTTATATTAGACTAGTAAATCAGCATTGTGAAATCTTTGCTAGCAGGTTTTACATTAAGATAATTGGTGGGGTACTGTTTCATTTTAAAAGTTTTCAATTGTGATGCCTTAAGTACATATTCAGTTTTCAAGTACATGCCTGGTGAGAGCTTATTGTAGTCATGATTCAAAAGTGAAAAGCGAGAAATCAGCAAGGAATAAAAAACAGTTTATTTCATAGAAACATAAGAAATAAATCGTCTGTTCAAGTATCACAAGAGAGATTGAGACAAAAGTAATTTATGTTAAAAGGTAACGCCCTTGTCATGTCTGTTCCCGACTGTTTCCTCTGAAATGAATATACAGGGTGATCAATAAATAAGGTAAAAGTATCTGGCATTTCTTCAGATTTTACCCAATCCTCATAGAATTTGCACAGAATAATGTTCAAACATTATTGAATTGAAATATTAAGTTACAGATCAAAGTGATGTGATTGGTTGAAGTTATGGTTGCCATAGCAACAGAAAGCATGAAGACCCGGGGCAACTATCAAAGAACTAAATTTTCAGTCAAAGCGCTTTTGATAATATATTTCAAATCACAATTGAAATGACATATCATATTCTTATTTTATACTTTATAACTACTCTACCTAATGCCCTTTGTTTTTAACATGTAGTCCATGTCTTCTATTCAAGTCTTCGAACACCTTTTTAAACCCATTTTCCCATAGCCTGCTGTAAATTTTTAAGATAGCTGACTTCAAGTCTTCCCATGAGAAACTCCCTCAACTCCCTCTTCAGGTCACCGTGAAGGTAAAATCATGAGGGGACAAGTCAGGAGAGTATATTACATGACCTAACAGTGGGAAACCCAGTGCTTCGATGGCTTGTACCGTGAGAATAGCATTGTGAGATGGAGCATTATCCCAGTGCAATGTGAAACGTGTTACGGGCCTCTTCTTCTTCTTTGCTCTCATCAAATCTATTAAGTATTGTTTTTCATCATTGACCTGTGTCATAGACTTTCTATGATCACTTCAGTTTTTATTATATATTTATCTTTTCCATGAGATCAAACACCAAATTTGCAAGAAAATATGTAACAATGGTAACAAAGTATTAAAACAATAAATGCTGGCACCCACGTTTATTTCTTTTCAGTTTGAAAAAGAGGTTCTTTTTATCATTTTTCGTTCAAATTGGATGCAATCAAATTGCCCCGGGTACCTCTGACTCCAGTTGCCATGGTAACTATAATATTAACCAATAAGATGACAGAATTTATATCTTTATAGGTTTTAATTCAGAAATGTACAAGGTATATTCTGACCAAATTTCAGGATGTTTGAGCCAATATTTACAAAATACCAGATACTTTTACCTTATTTATTGATCACCCTGTATACATATGCTTCTTGTAAATTCAAGCATTTAGTGCCTTATTTTCATCTATAAAACGAGTCCATTGAAGATAATGATGTTTTTCATACAAGCTTGATTTTCATAATAGTTTGGATAATTTTGCTTGACTGGGCTAAACCCTGGAATATGGCTCCTTAAATTTCCAAAATTTTATTAATGGTGTTTCCCTTGAAGCAATGGATCAAAACGTACATGTACATGATTTTATCAAGGTATTATCACTCATAAACAGTCAAATGTTGCTTGAAAGTGGTCACAGCAGAAAAATAGCTTGCTTCAATGAACATGTTATTTTAATGCTTTGTAGTTTGTAACTGTGTTGACGGATGCTCTCTGTGGAGCGTTTTACTCCATTTTTAAATTCCTTTTGAAAAATCAGAAATCTGCGGTTGAGAAACATGAAATTGATTTCATGATCATCTGGTATGGTACTATCCAAGTATTATGCAGTATAGTACAGTTCGACAATTAAATCTGACTTTCTTTTGTATTGTAATTTAGGATAATTAGAGATTCTATAGTTCCGCTGAAAAGTCAGCATTGGAATATTGAATTATAGCATCCATAATGCGAAGTTCCACTTTCCAGAACTTCAGAGTGAATTAGCACAAACTATGGTCAATAAGGTAAATATGAACACTTTGGCCACCGATAAATATAATATTGTAATATTCGGAATTTATTGACTCAATTGATTAAGTCGGGTTTATGAATTAACTTCTTGCAAGAAATATAATTGTTCCTAAAGTATGTTTGTAATATTTTTATAAACAGCTCATTTCCTGAAATGGTTAAATAACAGTTATTCCCTGAAATGAAATAACTGTTTCATTAGATATAGAAGGAAGGTTGTGTAGAGTGAAATGTCCATGGAATTAACAAGGAAAAGGATCAATATATACAACATAAAAAGTTTGAATTTAATAGAATTAGAAAAATCAGACTGTATGTTTGGTTTTATATTAGAAATTAAAAAAACTGAATGAGACTGGCATTTCGAGATTAGGTTGGCCGAAAATAATTCCAAAGGTAATTTATAAATAACATATAAGAGAAAACCATCAAGTAATTACACTTTTCAACTTCATTTCCTCTTAGCTTGTTTCCCATTGAGAAGGCTGTATGGTCGTTAAAGATATTTTACTGCAAAGCTCTTGAGAAAAGTTGCTCTTGGTTTTCTTTAGAATGAAAATCTGCAACAACCTTAGTGCATTTTACTGTACTAAAGCAGATATAATGTCGTTTTTTTTCCGACTCCTATACCTGGATTGATTAGTAGGCTTTTGTACTTTGGTATGGTTTGTTGAATGGTTTTGAAGTCTCTTCTTGAATGATATTTTAACTTTTATTGGGGTTAATTTGTGTAATGTTGCCCTTTGTGTTAAACATGGCAGGGCTTGCATTAACGGCGTCCCTTACATGTAAGTGACGCAAAAAAAAAATGTAGGACGGAAAAATAAAAAATATTTCCGTTTTTGGGACGGAAAAATAATTGAGTCAAAACTTTGAACATTTTTGAAAATCTCAATAGTTGATCATGTTTGACTTCTTTGAGGTGTATATTAAGATCAAAATATGTGAGATTTACAACTTTATTTTGAGTAAAAAAGAAAAAGAATGCAGAAAAACGAACTATTGTAATGGGCGATAATAGGTT